ACATGTTTTGGATTTTCGCCTTCCCGCCCACTTCCCATATTCTCCCATATTTTCCTGGGAGTCGACGCTCAATTGTGTCTGTGTGTTTTTGCCCTCCTGATCACCATGCGCTCCACCTTCTTGGCCTTCTCCTGCCCCACGAACCGCTGGCCCATGCCCTCACCCCACCACTCGAGCCGCAGCGGCTCCTTGTGGAGCACCGCGAAGTCCCACGACGCTATCCTGCCCGACTCCTCGTGGGCCACCAGCGTCAAGCGGCCGGTGTCCTGTTCGGCGGTGCACTGTACGGAGAACCTCTTGCCATCCCTCTCCTCCGCGACGATGAACTCCGTGTCGGACAGCACGGTCAGCTCTGCGACTCGGGCAGGGTACTTCAGCAAGTCCAGCAGCTCGAACCACATCCGGTCGTAATCGAGGTGCCTGTCCAGCGGGCCAGTCATGACGCTCCTTTGACCAGAGCCGTCTGGGGACAGCGCGCCGCTTTCCACGGGGATCCTGCGGCTGTCGTGCGAGTCGGGATGCACCCGCTGCATGATCGTCTCCAAATAGCCCTTGACGATGGCGACCTTGGCAGGTCCGAACCGGCGGTCCCCGGGCTTCTCGCACCACCACTCGAGCAGGAGGGGGTCACTGTGGAACACGAGCCAAGTCCGGTCGCGGATCTGGCCGCTGCGCAGCTGCGTCTCGGCCATCACGCAAGCCTTCCCCTCGCACCGTACCGTGTACCTCGTCTGCTCGGACGGCCTCGCCCCCTGGTCCTCGCTTGGCTCTACGGTCTTCCGTATCCGGAACTCGGACGCCGTGTCCTGTAAAATCTCGACCTCCTTGGGCTCGTCTTCTGTCGACGGGTCCTTTAAGGTGCGGGGCTGGGGCGACCAAATCTTCTGGGCCGCTCTCGGCGCCTCTGAATAAAGCCGCTGAGACTCGCCCGCCTGGCGGGCTCTGAGAAAACGGGGTGGGCACCTGGTCATAGCGGCTTCCAGAACCCGAGCCTGTTCTTCCTCCAAGGCACCCGGATTCGCGCATCGCGTCCCGCCAGGCGCGACGCGCGATCATCTTTGCGCCCGCGTGCCCCCGCGCCGCCCCCGTGGAGAAGGGCAGCTGCTCTGGCCCAGACCGCGACGAGCGAAGTCCGATGATCTTCGGGCCCCCGCGGGTGACCGCGTTCTGCTCACAATTGACACGCCCCTTACAGTCGACACTGATAGTGAGGAGCCGCGGTGAGGATGCAAGCCTGTATCCTCAGCGCGCCATCCGTACAATCGGCCGAAAGGAAGGGGGCCATCCGTACTATCGGTTTCGACAGTATTCCGAGGCGGGGATGGATCCATAAACACCGCCTGGGGGATGGATCCCCAAGGCGGTGGTTACGGATAAATCCCCGCCTCGCCCTAATCGACTCCTTGTTGAGCGACAGCCACGCGTCCCACAGCGCATCGAAGTCGCACAACGCGTCCAGTGGCTCGGACAATACGCTGTGCGAGCCAGGAGCATCCCACGAGGGCGCCCCGCAATGGACCTGGGCCCCGCTGCGGGAACCGCCGTGCAGCCTGGCGAGGACCGTGTTGATGAGGTCCTGGACCTGTCGACAGGCTCACACTGCGGCAAGCTCGCGTCGGAACGACCTCGGCATTGGCTTCTGACACCGCGTGGATCGTTCAACCTTGAACGATCACGGCTTTCCAAACGCGCAGACCGTCCAGCGTCGACCCAGGGAATCCGCGCGGGCCTCCTACAATGCATTCTCACGTCGACTCACGTCGTAGCCTGTCTTCCTCTTCGAACGCCGAAAAATTGTGCCCGTGTCCAAGTGGGCACCCAGACCTCTCCCCCCCTTCCTCGGGGCTGGTTTTCCATCGCACCGCCAGCGGCACGGGAGCTGTCTGAACTGCCACGGGGCGCCTTCACACCTCGTGCCACGCATCTGGACGCCTGCTGTTTAAAACTGTGGCCGAACAAAAATATCGATTCATCGCCGGCTCTTCATCCCGAATGATTTTCTGACTGTCGCAGGGCCCGAAGCCCGCCCCCGAAGGCCCCCTAGAGAACGAACAGCTGGCCGCCTCACGCCTGGATGTCTTGGGTACAGTGAAGCCTTCTCCTCCGCAATCATTCTTCCACAGAGGCCTCCCGCATGGGGTCCGAGCATGTGGGGTCAGAGGATCGCGCCGCATCGCCCATACATCGCCGATCGCCGAAACATCGCCGATGCATCGGCGACGTCGGCGTGGAGAACATCGGGCTCTACATCGGGCCGTGTCGCCGATGCACCGACACGACGCGGCGCGATCCTCCGACCCCGGCTGCTCCGACCCTGCTCGTGAGGCCCGGCTTCCCGCGCCCGTCTCGCCTGGGCCACCCGCAGCCGGCCCACCCGGCGCTCTCCGGGCGCCTCCCCCCACAGCTCCACGCGCAGCGGGTCGCGCGCCACGAGGATCCGCTCCTCCTCGAGCTGCCGCAGGCTCGTGGTCTCGGCCCGGCAGTAGATCTCGCCGAGCTCCTCTCGACGCACGGGGGGCCTCGCCCTCCTGTGTCTCTTCCCCATGTCGGAGCAGAGAGAGAGAGAAAGAGAGAGATGGAGAGATAGAGAGAGAGAGAGAGAGAGAGAGAGAAAGAGAAAAAACAGGGAGGTACTGCCTCCGCTGCCCTTGCCTCGTTCTCGCCTCTTTGGGCCTCCCGGGAGGCCCTCGTAGCCACGGCTGGATTCGCCTCGAGATCCTGGTCAGAACACACCCCGACCGAGAGAGATCCAGGGAGTAGCAGTGTTGTTATCTTTTGGTTTCCCCTGACTTCCAGCGTTTCCCCAATTATCACAATAGTGGAGGGGGGTCAAAAAGCGTTTGACGGCCCGTGCGTGACCCCCCCCGAGAGCGGTGCAACCGCTCCAAAATCCAGACTCCCCAGAGGCATCGTTTGACATTTCGGTCTAGACCCCCCCCAAAAAGAAGCGTTTGGGCATTATTTGTTGGACCCCCTCGAGAAGCCGACGACGACGGCGATGCCGGTGACGACGACATCGACAGCGAGTACGACCACAACGAAAACGACGACGACGACATTGACGACGACGATAACACCAACGACGACAAAGACTCTGACGACGACGCCACTGACACCGACGGCGAGGACGGCGACGACTGCGACGACGACGATGCGGACGACGACGACTACGACGACACCAACGACGACGATAAACCCGACGACGGCAACGACATCGACGACGACTACGACGACGTTGACAACGACTGTGGGGACGACGACGACAACAACGACGACGCAGAAGCCAGAGACGGCGACGACGGCGATGACACCAACGACATCGTCGATAACGACGGCGACACCGACGAAGTACGACGATGACACCAGCGACGAGGACGACGACGATGATGAGAACATTGACGACTACGACGACGACGCCGACGACGGCACCGAGCGACGACGACACCGATGACGACGACACCGACGACGACTACGACGACGGCGACACCGACGACGACGACGAAGTGGAATACACCAATTTCGACGACACCGTCGACGACGGCACTGACGGCGAAGACGGCGGCGACGACGATGACACCGACGACGACCACGCCGACTACGACGACCAGAGACGATGACGAGATCACGATCATGGTAATGGCGATGACAGTGGCGATGACAATGGCGGTGATGACGACATCAAATGGCGATGCGACACCAATCATCGAACATTTAAACATTAATAGTACGACTATGTTTATCGTTCGGCTTACCATAATGCCCTGCACTCGCACCACAAAATTGACACCAAATTGCTACTATCATCACCCGTTGTTCGTAACCAATCATGTATTACTTGATTGCGTTATTGCTCTTCCATTGTCGTCATCCTTCAAGAAGCAATACCATTTTGGAGTATCACCAACATGGTATTTTTTTGATCAGCATCATGGCACTGTTACACGACCGTCATACCATGTACAATGTTACAATATGCGGTGTTGCGTTCCATCGTCCGTGCCTTAATTTTTCCGACGGACATATCCGCCGTGCCCTCCAAGGGCCTCTGAGTGCACGCGGCGACCAGATGAACAATCCGCCGTCACCTTCGCAGTCGGATTTGCAACTCCGATCAGCCACCACCTCCAGGGACAAACGCGATGTGTGTGTGTGTGTGTGTGCGCAACTCTGACGGCTTCCAGCCGTTTATGTAAAACACACGATCGCTCCGGACTCACGCCGGTGGGAGGGGGATGACGGGCAAACAACGAGTACACCCTGGGGCGCACCGAGAACCCTTCAAAGAGCGGCACTGCGCAACAAACATGTCACGAATTTCGCCCCTCGATTCGGCAACCACCCAACATTGTGGCTGTCACGGGACACGGTGCGCAGCGGTTCACGGCAGGATGGGCCGGTGCACCGCAGGAGGAAGGAGGCGAGACAGGGCGAGGGAAGAACAGTAACAGTGACATCAGCGACGCCACAAAAGAAATGTGCAGCAGATCTGACCCGCGCTAGCTGTATAAAGTCAAATACATGGTGGCGTGATTGGGCGAATGACGCACACCAGCGAATAACGCGCACCAGCGAGTATCTACCAGACGAGAGGCGGGTGGGAACCCACCCATCGGTGGCTGGAGCGCGAAACGTGGCGACTGGCAAAACCTAAGGTCGGTCGACAACGGCCCTCAACGAGGCTGGCCCTCGGTCGACAGGAGGAGGAGGAGGAGGAAATGGAGGAGGAGGAGGAGGAGGAGGAGGATGAGGAGGAGGAGGAGGAGGAGGAGGAGGGGGGGAGATGGAGGAGGAGGAGGAGGATTTTTTTAACATCAACAACTGCCAAGCCGTACTCTCTGGGGGGACGGCGCCTCCCCCCAGAGGAGGGGCAGGGCTGGGTGGCGCCTCGTGCCACTTACGCCACCAGCCCTGCCCCGCCGCTGACGTCACGGCAACTGCGGGGGGACTCACGCCGAACGGCTGCCAGTCCCGCAGTGCCATGGAAACAGCGGCGACCCCCTCGCCCACACCCGCATTGGGGGGAGCAGGGGGAAAAACATCTCAGCCTGCTGCGAACACTCCACGCTGATGGCAGAGCGAGCACACGGTTGGGCCGCAACACGACGCCAAAAGGGCTGGATGCTCCTCGACCCCCGCAAGGGGGACGAGACAAAACTAAAACTCATCCCTAGAAAGGGAAAGCGCTCTGAGACCAATGATTTCGAACAATCCGTTCAAAAGTTGGGGACGGGCAAAGAGGACGAGGGCGCAGGGGCGGGAATCGCCCCTGCTGGCAACTCTTCGGGTCGGCCTACCCCCAGGTTCTTCCTTGGGTGGCGGCCTGACATGACTTTGTTAAAATTCGTGCGGCCATGGCCGCGCAACTCGTTAGGACATTCCTTGGACAAAGCAGTCTTGACAAACACAGCTTGATGCATAAATCCCCCGCACTTGGGGCAGAAATAAAAATCATAACCATCCGTGCACGGCAGAATAACTACGCTGTGCGAAAGAGAGTCGGCGATGTCCAGATCTGCTCTGGCAACGCCGGTGCACGAACCACCAGGCGGCTTAACACAAGAACGAGAGCCTAACCTGCAAACAACGCACCTCCACACAGAGTGTTGCCACTGCCACTGATGCTGGACCACGGGCTCCTCGGGACCTCGGGTGGTGCGGCAAGGAGTGACAAACGGAACACCCTCCAAGTTCAATCGTGGCCACATTGGAAGCAACTTGGCCGCTAGTCGGCACACAACTTTACTAATCTTGACAGCACGGTTCACTCGCTCTTCTTCTTCGGGCGAAGGTTGGGGGTGAGAGCGGGCCCCGCGCTGCGCAGCTTTGTCGGCGAAATCGTTACCGACCCTTCGGATTCTCTCATCATCCGAAATGCCCGACTCGTCCTTGTCCTGGTGGGCTTTAACTTTCACCACTGACTGGACAAACGGGGCATTATTGATATACAGGAACTGGCCAGCATAACGCCTCCTAAACGAAACACGTTCGCTGGGGGGCAGGCGGAAATGATTAACTACCGCAAGGCAGTCAGAAAAAAACTTCAGAATTGGCAACAACATGGAGAGCGGCCATGGCGAGGGCACAATACTCCCCAGCTGGTGCTGTCTGGCTGATCGGGTGGTGCACAGGGCCATGCAGGGCGCACAAGAGGGAGCCCTGGGGGGAGACCATGCAAACCCCCCAGCCCGCCCTTGAAAGTTCTGGGATGGGATGCCAAAAACAACTCCCATCGACATAGATACTACCCTGCAGGTCCCCATTAGCGAGCTCCTCCGAGAAGTCCTCTTCCTCAGTAGCTGGCAGGATGGCCCCACCCCCCGAGCTAAGGGCCCTAGGCCAGAACGATTCGGGATGCTCGAAGATCCCCCGATCGAAAAGGATGCGATCCCCATCCGACAGCGGACCCAGGGCAATCTCAAGGATCTCTGGAGGAATAAGCTCGCTGCGGGTCTCAGAAACAGCTGGGCACTCATAAAGCCTGTGATGCACAGAGTCTGGATGAGCACGACATAGTGGGCAGAGCAACTGCTCGACGCTGAGCTGGTAGCCCACCTCAGCGGCTCTGTCGGCTGTCCAGGCTCCACCGCAGCACAGGTTCCTGATCGAACCCTTCTCCAGAGCAGAATATTTCTTCGAACGAAGCTGGCTCTTGCAGATGTCGAAGCAAGCCCGATCCCACCCAACGTCCAAACTCCTTCCCACATGCATTTCCAGGTCCCTAACCACCGCCCGCCTGAGGATGTCCTTCAAGAGGGTAGGGCTGACGAAGGTGAGGGAGACAGGTGTGCCGTCATGCATGGCGAGGGTGGCGTAGTTGGGCATGGACCAACCGATGCGCTTGACAGACAGGAAGAGGGCAGAGATCGGGCCGGCGACAGAACGCCAAGTCTTGGGCTGCAGCTTTCCCTCGAAGACAGACGACCAACACTTCCTGAGCTCCTTAAAAGTCATACCCCCCAAGTACTGGTGATACTGGGCCGCCCACACCTCCTTCCCCCAACGAACGATAGGAGCGACCATCCCATAGTACGTGGGGTCATCCTCGCAAACCAAAGCAGAAGAGAGGCTACGCCCGCCACAAGACGGTCTGATACATTTACCCGCTTGACGGCGGATGTGACCAAGCTCGGAGTCGCTGACTCCGTGGATCTCGCAGCCAAAATTTATCCCAGCCAAAGCCCCACTGGTGAAGATCTTCTTAGCAGAACGGCCCAGGACCTGACGCTGTTTGCAGATCCTGTTGACACGCTTGTCGAAGGTGGAGCGGCGCTGCTTGGCTTTCCTACAACGGCCCTTGACCCTCCTAGGCAGTCCAGCGGTGTCGTCAGTCCCCAGGTTGACAGCCGAGGAGGTCCCACCAGGGCCAGCCCAGACACCCAAGAAGGCCAGGAGTTTATCCCCAAGACGCCGCTGACTGCATACGAGGCTCGCCTTGTCGGGGGCGACCTTGCACTTAATATCGGCCTCCACAGCCTTGAACAAGCCCACAGCCCCAACGGT